CATAGCCTCCATAGGTAGATGGCTATCAGAAAGAAAGTAGAATATATCCAACACTACAGTTCCTGGGAAGCCAAATCCAAATTAAATAAAAGCATCTTATTAGAGAGCTGGGATGAAACCTTTTAATGAGATACCTGACAGTTCAGGCTCCGATTCATGCAGCCTGCACAGCAAGTCACAGAGAAAGGCAATGTATGATGTAGCCATTCCTCATTACAGTTTGAATGATAATTTTTGTTTCCTAAATAAATAGGGACTTCCAGGAGGGTCTTGGGCAAGTCACTTAACCTCTTCTTCATTCCTGCTTCCAGTAGAAAAATGTGCATGTATGCCTCCCCTTCCTGATCCGATGTTTGTACAGTCAAGACCACAGAAATGCTGCCACCAACAAATCCCCAAAGTGCTTCTCGTCTGTTAGTACAAGCCATAGCAGTCGTGTGGTGCAGCAACTCCTCCAGCCTAAAGTCTGCTTCTGTGGGCTATTCAAGCTTTTTATACAGGGCTACCTTAAGACACACCTTCTCGGTTTTGCCTGTCTTAGTCACCTAATAGACCCTGAACCCACCTAAGTTAGCAGAGCTGCTGACCCCAAGAGGCAGACTTGGAGTCCTTTCTACAACTCTGCATGCTAGTCTAGACCTCATTTCCAGAGGATATCAAGAGTTCAAGCAACTCTCATAGTAGATATAGTCCACTTCTAAGAGACTTTTGTACATAAAGAAGCTAACAAGCTTTCAAGAGTTAGGAAATAACTGTATTCCCCAGGCAGTGGACAAGGTCGCAGTCAATTTTTCCTCTGTCATTTGTTCACATAATATTATACCCTTCAAAAGGGGATTTCAGTGAGAAGTGAGAAATTCCTGTTTTTAACAGCGATAGGATTTTAGTCAGAACCAAGGAACTTCTGTACACTACTGTGCTTTATTAGCACAGTATGTTAATGATCCAAGAGTCTTAGATGCCTTTCCATATCAAATAGAAGAGGAATTTCATTCAAGGGAGGGCTCCAATTGGACTCTACCCTGCGCAGGAAGATACAGCTGAAGGAGGTGATCAATTATAAAGGCTTCCCAGCTAATGAGACCATTGGTAGGCATTGATCTCTTAAAGAAAACAGAGATGTTGCAGCTAGAGATACTTAGAGAAGACAGACTAACAAGGCAGCTTATCTTTTGAAAAAGTCCCACAGGCCACGATTTTGCAGAGGTCATTGTTCTGTATGCAGCACATGACCTTCTCTCCCCCAGCAAGCAGGGAAGGAGAGCAAAACACTCCAGTAGAGACAGGGAGTAAAGGGGCACAACTTCATATTTATTCATTTCACCTCTAGACATGGACTCCACAATGATGGAAGTAACAAGTCACTGATTTTTAAAAAGTATGCATACAGTACTGTGATAAATACCAAGCACTTGTCACTGAATATGTCTCTAATAATGAATAGTCAAGAGTTACTTTACAAGATCTGAGATGTCACACAACAGCTTCCCACTACTGCTGGATGTTGTGTTCCACCTTAACAACATCCAAAGATAAATTAATTACTGCCCAAGACTGCTTTTCCTCATTCCCTTGGAGGATTTCTTCAGAGTGGTCACACACTAATGTAACACTTCACAGTATGAGAGGCTTTTGGCTGACCAGATTTGCTTTCAATATATATAGGTTTTGAACTCACTTTCTCCAGGTACAATATCCACTAGATCCTCCTGGTATATTTAGTATACAGAGTACAAAAAATAAATCTTTGGACAGTTATATGTAATCTCCACTGTAACAGAGTTGGACAGTGCAAAACTTCATCTTTAACTTGAGTACCTTTTGTCATTCTAAGAAGACCCCAATTGAACAAGGCTATCCAAAATCAGCAGACAGAATAAGCAGCCAACCAGTCTCATTCTCAGTGCCAAGTCAGTGTGAGCTCCTGCATCACCTGGGGCTGACTGATTCTGCTCACATGAGGGTGTTTTAGAGGGTTCAGGCCTCTGTTTGACAGGACCAAGCTTACTCTTAATAGGAAAAAGTGCCAAACAGCAGTATTCACTTCACTCCTAAGTGAAAATAGACAGTGAAGGTGGGGGAAAAGAGGAGCTATGCCTTCATTCATAACTGAATAAGCTGTTAAAACAAAAGTCAGATTAAATGGAAAGAGGAGAACCTTAAGAATCCCCTCAGAAAGTCACATAACTGAGGACACTATACTGAAAATATTTGATGAGGTTGTTGTCAGGTTAAGGTCAGAGAGCATGAGTCACAGAATCACTGGGGCTGGAAGAGACCTCTGGAGATGATATAGTCCACCCCACTGCTCAAGCAGGGACAGCTAGAGCAGGTTGCCCAGGACTGTGACCAGTCGAGTTTTGAGTAGCTGTACGGACAGAGATTCCATCATTTCTCTAGGAAGCCTGTTCCAGTGTTCAACCACCCTCACACTAAAAAAAATTGTTTCTCTTCAGACAGAATTTCCTGTTTTTCAATCTCTGTCCAATGCCAATTGAAATGAAGGTGCCTATTCTATCAGAAATAGAGATTTAAAGCTATACGGGGTCCTCAGAAGTCCTGAGGAATCAAGGAAGGGGGGGAATCCACATTGACTAAGCCAAATAGAGGACAAAATACTAATATCTATGAGGGAGACTTTGGAAATATATTTAAGGAAAGATCTAAAGCTAAATAGGAAAAAGAAAAATAGAAGAAGGAGGAAAAAAAAGAAGTGGAGGGGAGAGGCTGAGATCAGCGAGAAAGCACTAAAATATATACACATTAGAAAAAAAGAGTTTGGGCAAAAGATGAAGGAACTGGAACTACTAGCATAGGACACGGCTGGCTCTTTTAAAAGTCAGAGAATATAGAGCAATCAATCATTCTAGGAACACAAGTGAGCTATTTCAGGAGTTAGAGATAGAAAAGGTAAAGGTGACTGAACAGTATTGTGGGATAATTATGTGATATAATTGGTCTGGATCAGTTTAAAAAAAAAATACTTCAGGGTGGAGTGAATCGGCAAGGCAGGAACTTCACTGCCAATAGAATCAGTTATTTCAGGAGTTAATCCATATCTAAATCTGGCAATAAAGAGGTATTCTTGGGAAACAGGTCTTCACATCAGGTTAAATTCCAACATCTAAATTGTAGAACTGTGCTAAATGTAGGAAGTCCTCATTATTTTCCTGTGGGTTATGTTTCTTTACCAGTCACTAAAATAAATGAGCAGAGATGTAATTTAGATCCTATTCTGATAATTAATCTTGGATTGAATGATCACATATTCATTCATTTAGATAAAGAAAGCGCGAAGTCAGCCTGTAACTCTCAGTTTTCATTTCAAAGTGTATCGTTTGAGAATTTAAGAGAAATCTACTGGACAAAAGAGCTCACAGAATGAACTATGAAGGAGGCCTGTATTGCTTCAAGTCAAAAAGTGAAAAAAACAACAGCAAACACACCTCCCCCACCCAACACATCAAAAATAATAATTAAACAGGAGAAGGGGAAAAACACTAGTGCACACCACACTCGTTGGGAGGCAGTTCAAATTTAAAATATTAGTTACTAATGTTTTTACCTGATTTACATACTAGTTAGCAAGGAATGGAAGACATATATTGATCAAACGGCAGTATATCAGACATTAAGAAATTAAGTAAAAAATGCCAGAAGTCTGTAGAGTGTAGCTCAGCTAAATCAGCAACAGATTCTTCAGCCACAAAAATGCATAGAAGACAGGAAAAAGAAGTAGGACAACTGCATACAGAAAAGGTGGCAGAAAACAATCGTCAGGTAGGCTCCTGAAGTGAACAGTTAGTCACTGGAAGAAAGTGAGTGTGCTGAAAAAGAAAAAGGTAGCCAATAGTCATCCTCTCTTATTTTGCCCTCACTGACTTTCACAGAAGGAAAGAATCAGCTTCTCTTTAAAAAGAGGAAGAAAAAAAGTGCCATGACAGCAGTTTTGGTCAGTTTCCATGACCACCTCAAAATTATTTCATTTATTTTTAAATGGTACAGGAGAGGAAGAGAGAGGAACACTTTATCTGAAAATTAGTTATTATTAAAGTGAAAATTACTGTGTGGAAAGTTATTATGTCCAGTAGAGACTGGATTCTTCTCACCTACTTTAGAAGAGATTGTTGAAGTTAATTGTCCAGTCTCTGTCCATGGTCAGCAGAGGTGCAGAGGTACACTGCTAGAGGATGATTCATGTTCTCTATACTAGACATTTATTTTAGGATGGGTGAAATTACTTCCTACAAAGGACTCTCTACATTCCTAGAAAAAACAGACTTGTTTTGGACTCAGTGTCTAATGCTAAGCAAGTTGAATCCCTCCCTCACACATAAGGTCTTGCCTCTGATTATCTGATAGAGGAGATGAAGAGAAAAGAAAAAGAGTCTCCTGGCTGTTACAGTTAGTTCTAGAATAGCAGTTATGGTTTTAAAACTGTGTTGTTGCAATATGGCAACACATGACTATTTTTCCCCCCCCTTTAGCAGTGTACCCTCACCATAAGTGCTTCTTTATCCTGTTGCAGGACTTCTATTTTTAAAGAAATAAAATTCAAGCACTACTTCTATAAAACAACCAGAGCACTCTAGATAGTTACATTCTTTCCTCTTGCAGTTCTGCACATTCTTTCTCTACAAAAATATTGTGATCTTTCAAAGAAGTTAGTTTTTGAGACCAAAGATCGGGAGCTGGCGTCTTCTTTCCTACCTAACCATACACCCCCAGCTTCTCAAACATGAGGAATTCCAAAGTAGCTAAATATTTAAGAGGAAAACATTACTTGAGGAGGGAAAAAACAGTTACTCTAGCCAGTAGAGTCTAACGGTGTGACAGATAATTCAGAATTACCGTTCAATATTTGAAGCCAATGGACCAGATGCCACTGCTGGAAGAATCTCCAAAGACATCAGTTTTTGTACAGACATAGATGGTAACTACAAGTTTCACATAACAAGCAAATAAGGAATTTTAAGTAGTCAGATTCAAATTTTACTTACTAATATTGATCTTCGAAGTACATTTCTCTTCTCTGCATTTCTTCTTGCTTTTTCTTAGCTTCAAGCCTCTCTGCCTACAGCATTAAAAACATTAAAACATTAAAAGAGTAAAACATTCTTGAGATTTCTAGTAAGCAAGAAACAAATTATTTAAATATTCTTGTTTCCAAAATAATAATAGCAGTAGTTGGGTACATAGGTGACTCAATCTCAAATTAAAAAGTATTCAAACATGACCCGGAGTCAGATAGCTTAGTAAACTTGTCAAGACACCAATCTGAAATATAAAAACACACTGTTTTCCTGGTAGACTTACGTACCCTCACAGAGGGCCTCATGAGGCTTCACAGTTCTCAAGCCATAATATTAAGGCCATCTCTAGGATTAATTAATGCAGCTTAATGGGAGCCGTATGGGCTACTCTGAGATGTGGAAATGTTTGCAATTAGATTAGCTGTTAGTTGACGATGCTTCGGTGGCCCTCAGCTGTGCCGCCCAAGGAGCAGTGACACCCGGGCGCGCATCACACATAGACCTGGGGCCTTCAAAAGCTTTAGGTTCTGATCAGCGCAAAGATGCTGAAGATCGGGGATATAGCTAGACTTATCAAATACTATTCTACCACAGATACTGTGTCCAGTGCGAGAGTCAGCCAAAGTTTTGACACACAAGATTACTGTGGATATCTGGATAACACAGAAGTAATGAGCCTCTTTAACTTAAAACTGAATGTAACACCCTTGTGGAAAGGTAGCATAAGCACCCCCCTCAAAAGCCCCTTCACATAGGATTAAAATGTTAAAATAAAGCAGAAACTAGAGAACTTTCTTTAGCCACGATATTCAGCTTAACTTTAATTTTCAGCCAAAAGCAGGCCAGCCAATTTTTTTTTCTCCAAAGTGCAAGTTTCAGGTAGGTCCAGTGGGAAGGGCAGTCAAGAGGCAGTTCAGCGTACTACATGCACAGATCACAGAATCACAGAATCGTTTAGGTTGGATGGGACCTCTGGAGATCATCTAGTCCAACCTCCCTGTTCAAGCAGAGTCACCTAGAGCATGTTGCCCAGGATCACATCCAGACCAGCTATTCCATGACCAGAATAGTGCCTGAAGAAAACTCCAGCATAGTGAAGTTATTTTCTAGTGGCTGGTGTAACTGCTTTCTATTTTGAAAGTTTACCTTGGGACCCTGCTTAGGACACATGGATATGACAGGAAAAGGGAATGGAATATTCTCTAACTAATGACAATCTATCAATAAACATTGCCAAAGCACTCTACATTTGGCATGGTCTTCAAAAATAAAGCCAAGAGTGGAACAGCTGTGATATTGAAGGTAAACACGTTGAAAAGCATTAGCAGAAGGTCTGTAAAGTGTCTGGTTTTAACCAATTCCCAAAAAAGGCCATTCATGTTGATTAACAGAGTTAAAGTAAAGAGCACATGATTTGATAAAGAATAAAATGAAATTACAGCTTATTCTTAATAGGACAGTTTCTAAACAGACATGACTGTTACCATGTAATGTAAAAGTAAAAGAAAAGTTAGTTGCACACTAGAATTAACTTAAGCCTTTTCACTTCAGCTCTTGAATCTTTCTACATTTAGGCAAGTTTTAGAACATACACAGGAAATTCTAAAGGCAGGATAATAGGAACAGAGATCGAATGACAGAAAACTGAAACATACAATGCACCTAAATTTGGCTTATGGTTCTCTAAGATTTCTACAGGTTTGCTATATGCAAAATAGCTAACCTCAGTGCTACGTGTTTATTTTCTTGGAAATTTGACTGCCCTTTCATTCGAAAGACTCAAATTAAGTTATGGTTTAGTGTGGTAGAAATTTGTGATGTGAAAGGCTACACAAAAGATACCAAATTGCAGATGCTTGCTACAAATATGGAAAGAATAATAATGCTACTTCCCACATCTTCCCATACTTTTTGCAGATCAGACACCCATCTCAGCACTATGGCCAAATATACAAAAAAAAGAATTCATTGCTTACATCGAAGTCTCTCCAAAATTATTTCAGTAAGCAGACAGAAATTACCACCTTAGGAAAAAAGAAAAGCCGAATGAACTTGTGGAGCTCAGGTTACCCCGTGAACAGCTCAGAGAAGTCCCAGGGCAAGCTGGCTGATGCAGAGCACATGAGAACCCAAATCACATTTGCTGTTATCCACAGAGAGCGGAGAGCATAGGCTCATGCAAGCTGGTTCTCTGGAATATGGGATGGGGGAAGATCTACCTTTCTTCTCTCTGGGAGCTGCAGAGAGACAGAAGAGATGCCAGGAGCACTGGTATCACAGCCTCTAACTTAATCATTGGAAAACGACAGAGACAGACAGGCGTCTCCTACTGAAGGTAACCCAGACCATCCACATTTGGGTACTGCTTTAGTAGACAACCATTTTTCTCTTGTTCACAAAGATAAAGGAAGAACAGCTACTACTTTTCTCTGTAAAACAAGTATTGAAGCAATAACATAAGCAGAACCTATGTTCATAGGTAGCATTGGCTTGCAATGCATCATCCTTACAATCATGGGAGACCTGAGCTGAGTATCAGCACAGGTTCTGGTTGTCACACTTTTGCAGGGCTTTACAATTCACTCTGGCTGGCAAAGCAGCTCTCCAGCTGTGAAAGTTTCAGGGTCCCTGCTGACAAAGCCTCCTAGCCATTATCTCCTCTCAGACTGCCAGACAATTTGTTTTTACTGAATGAATAATAACCTTGAGCAAAAGAAGGTCTGCCCAGCAAGAAAAAAAGGCTTGTGAATTTGCAGAAAGACATGCTCCTAACTGAATCCCTGCATGTGCTAATTTACCATTTAAAAACAGTTCTTACTCTGGAGTAACCAGGGCATGACATTGGCCCTACAGCAGAAGTCCTTTAGGATCCCTTCCCTGCCATTCCTACCTCTCCGGGACTATTCATCTACAGCAGGGAGAGATAGCCAAAGCAACACCCTTTAGTGGCTTTCCAGAAAGCTTTTCTTAAAATTGACTTTTAGGTATGTTAACATCTTACTCCAAGAAATCGTCACCAGCTCAGTTACTATTGTGGAAGACAACACAAATCCAAGTTAAGAGATCCCCTTCATCCTCCTCTGTTTTGTTCGCTTGCTTGCTTTGTGAGTATAAGTTTATTCATTCAAATTAAACTGTTTGCCAAGATGTTTGCCATGATATTGCGTTCTTCTTTAGAAGAAACTTGACAGTTAGAGTTTTACTATCTCTACCACCTATAAACATTTTATAATCTGTGGGTGTGAAGGTAAAGAAATTAAAGAGCATGAAAATAGAACTGATACATCAATATATTTTCTAGGTATAACTATAAATTACGGCAGTCTTTCAACATTCTTCTTGCCCAGTGCCCACAGGCAAACAACATATATTTAATAGGTGAATAAATATAACGAATCCCTTTTCTACCCTTGTTATCATCATTGCTTTTGGAGGTATACATGAGCTGCTAAGTGTTAATGAGATTTCCACATGATACTATTTACGCTTCTGCAGGTTATTGTGTATGGGCTTATCCTCAAGGACTATTTTTAACCGATAAAAGGCAGGGAACAGACTAACCTTTATCTAGGCATAATTAAGGCTATTTTTGTTTATGCAGTGTAGTATTGATGATTTCTGAGTTAACCTTCAGCCTTCAGGATGCACACAGAAGATTATTTTTACTGTTGTGGAGACAAACCTTGAAAATCTCAAGTCTTCCTTTCTCTCATAACTATTGTGCACATCAATATCGTCCCCCCTCTCCCCATTTTTTAATTCCAGGTTACATTCTTGACTTAATACCAGTTGGTTTCCACCAAAGAGAGTGGAGGACCAAACAAACTTTCCCAAAACCTTATACAGCACACAGGACTAAAAGCAGCTTTGTGGAAATAACCGGAAAAGACAAACAAATCTGAAATAAAACTAAAGATTTGAAAGAGAAGTATCGGTGTGATTATATGCCAATAACAGAAGAGAGAGTGATCTTACATACTAGCCAGTGCTTAGCACTGTGACAGGTTTATCAGTTTAAAGGCCAGAGGTCTACACCAGAGAGTAACATCAGCCTCTGGGTATGGGGGTGGATTTGTATGCTCAAAGGAGGCATTGCCACAGCTCTCTCTGCACAGGACCTGCAGTGCAGATGGCCTTAGGGTTCCACTTTCAGGGTCATGGCGAACAGCAACGCTGCAAGGCACGCTAGTCCCCGCAGCGCTACCCCTAGACTCTCCAGGAGCCCGCCAACAGCCATGAGCAGACTTCCACGACACTGATACGCATATCAAACAATACATTTCTGCCCACTCAAAAGAATGAAAGGCCTTTCTGAAAGAAATCTGGATCTGCAAGCCACTGAGGAGCTGCAGTGCTTGCCAGCCGGCACCTCAGTCTGGGTAGCTGGAAGGGCACCAGAATTTCAGGTTGCACGAGGGCACATTGCAAACAGACTACCATTATCTTTCTATAATTTGGATGCCTTTTCCATCATGACAGGCTGACTGTTCTTGCATGCTTCCCACACATGTAGCGGGCAACTACAGATTTGTGTAGGATCTTCATACCATTTGCCACAATCTGATTATACAGAAAAAGTTCATGCCAGAATAAACTACATAACTCATATCACTATTTACAACATTATTCCTGACCCTGGTGTTTTCCCTTTATTTCTGCTAACTCCTGAGGACGTACACAACCACAGCATTGGAATTCCTGAAGCACCAAAGGAATAGGAAAGCCTAACAGAACACCAGGCCAGATTTCCTTTAGTGAACTAGTAAGAAAGGGAGGACTGGATCCTCTAACTCTCTGGTGAAATCCAGGGATGCCATTTTATTTAACAAAGCTGTTTCATGTAGTTTAGTAAAACAAAGCATCATAACATATGCTTTGTTATATGGTTCCAACTCTACAGTAACTACGTTTACCTTTTCTCTTTGAATTGCTTTCTTTTTCAGGATTTCAGCTTCTTCAGCAGCCTTTTTTGTTCTAATGTATTCTTCTCTCTTGTACTATATGACAAACATAAAAAGATACATATGTATGTATAAAGAACACACAAGATAAGGTACCTTGACTCCTGTTCTGCACATCTTTCAAACTTAAAGTGTGTTTATTAAAAGTTACCGGAAATTTTTCTTAAACTGAGATACCTCATTAAATTAAATAAAGCAGGCTGTGCAACAGCTACTCTGCTACTGGCTTTAAGAAAGCTGAGAAATCTGGGAGCAATAAATGGGCATCTATGCAAGGAACCACAAAGCTGATTGATAACTTACAAGCATTTATACCTTTTATAACAAGAACATTTCTACGTATAGCACTGGATAGTTGGTACACTGATCAATTAGCTGAAGTGTAGGCAGCATGCTGGAAGATACAGCAAAGTGTGTAAGTGACTTTACAACTACACTGATTTTAATTTTAGACATGATGTGCGATATGGTTTGCTACATATTTACAGCTGGGTTTCTCATTTTCTTTGGTGCAGAATGTTTGTTTCCAGTTTTCTGCTCCTTCCTTCAGGTTTCATGACTTTCTATTGTCAAGCAGCTGGGAGTTCATTTTACAGACATATGAAACAGTGACACTCCCTGAAAAACCTTCTTTGAGCTAGTTTTTAAAATAAACACATTTATTCTTCCTGACCTTTTGCTGGTATTTAGATTGCATGAGCATCATCTGTTGTTTTTGCCTTGCTTGAGCCTCTGATTCCTTTCCACCTATTAAAAAAAAGAATATAAATTGCATTTTGCATGAGCATTTTAGGTTCAAATGCCAGTCATTTCAGAACACAGCAATATAACAGATCGGATGTATGCATATACGGCAAATTTTTCATAATTACAGTAGCTGTCTGACATTAAAGAAAACATATAGGAAACCTTTTCGATCATTCTATTCAACCTTCAGAAGCATTGGCTTGTTATTCACTTGTATCCATTGTATCATCCGCTCTGCCAGTAAGTATGTCCTACTGTGGGTGATCAGTTTGCTGGAAAACTATTCAATTTTCACAAGATTAGTCATGCTTTACAGATAAGTCTTCATTTCCGACCTAGACTCCCCCACCTTTGCTCAGTTCATTTGCACACACACATACAGACACACACTTACATACTTTATTGCCAGAAAGTTTCTGTTCTATCAATTATAAGAGCATGGAGTTTCTACCAGTTCTAATAGGCTGTTACCTTTATAATATCTTCTTCCTAGCAATGTCTTGGGGCTTGAGGAATAATCCCCTTTCTAAAACAGAAATCAAAACCTTTTCTAACAGAACTCTCAGTCATACCCAGATAGCAGAAGATGCCCTTTCCAAAGGCACAGGCTCTGATGAGAACATCTAAACCTCTGTCCATATACGTTCAGCCTTCAATTAAAAAAACAACCCTCCTCCCCCCCCACACAGACACACACACATACACGAAGTGATAGGCTTCTTAAGGGATGGAGGGTAGTAGTAGGAAAACCAATAATTTATTCCCTCAGTTGTTGTGCAGTGGGGAACACAAAAAACAACTGCAGGTCCTATTCTGTAGACAGAGACTGTATATTTGCTTACTGATTTTCTGAGAAGTTCCCCACTATAGGACTATTAACTCTGCAAAGACAGCTAGACTACTCTGTGCAGGCATCAAGGACCTGACTCATCTCAGCTACTTGAGGTGTCTGACATTTGAGACAACTACCCCCATAGCTGTCCATCCCCCTTGCAGCAAAGGGCATGAATCACCTTTTAGTAAAAGTTGCTTTCTCCATTTACTAATGGAAGGTAACTAATCTTTAGGTACCTTTGTGAGGTTCAATGAATGGGAGATCAACTCCCTGAGCGTGGAGTCTCCCTATGCACACAAATAACTCCATAAGAATAAGGCTATATAGGATACAAGTAATAAGCTTACAGAAGCAGTAAGTGTACAGCTGATATTCTATAGTGTCTCATCCCCAGGTCTAGGAAGCCTTTAGAAGCTTGATATTTCTTTCTTTCCACTTTGCTATCAGCAAAATTTAACACTCTTGTGTTCACTGTAAGTTCTGCTGGACATCAGCTCTAAACAAGTATTTTACTGATCATAACCAGCCGTTACCCACAGCCTTTCAGCCAGGTTTAATTCATTCAAGATGGCTTGGTTGTAATATATCTAATGTTTCACTGAAGTCAGACTGGTGTGTTATGACTGGCATTCACTTTATAGAACATAAAAAAGAGGTCATTGCATTTTCAGGCATGATTTGCTCCTTACAATCCTGCTCCACTCATGTTTAGAGAGCAAGGATGGAACTTACATCATTCATCGCCCTCATCCCTCCACGGTAACCTTAAAGTCTGCCAGTCAAATAAGTGTTCCGGATTTCAACTTTATACTATTTCCATATGGAAAGCATGAGTATTAAAAAACTTCATTTTTAAGAATCCTCTGGTGATTTGGATCAGATGTGCAGTCTCCTAAAAATCACTCTGAGAAAATAGCACAGGATACTTTTTACCTTAATGAGTACCTCAAGTTGTGAGATTAGAGACGACACTTTATTTTTTTTCCTCTTTGAGCTCTCTTCTGTTTCAAATTTGTTCCTGTGGGAATGATAAGATCTAATAATCTTCACACCTTACCTCTTTTCAGAGGCACTGAACATAGTTCATGTGTCTCAGTCCCCAGGGGTCTTTCTAAGTAGTAGCTAGACAGTGACTGAAGAGCTTATATAACTTCAAATTCTTTCAGAAGCTTTTTGATTTTTTAAAATTTGCTTCTTTTTCAAAAAAGTTTTTAAATGCAACGGAAACAGAGAAAGTTAAGACTTCCCACATTCTTAGTCACTGTAGGGTTCTCACCACATCCCCAGTCATGCAGCCAGCCACACATCAACTTTCTGTTTTCAGATTTCACTTTCTTCAGCAATCAGCTTTGTAGTCCTTTTGGGATAGAAGCATATTTTCTAGGAATTGCTCACAGGTAGTAAGCAGCTAGTATGTATGAACTGATAAAGAACATACATGTCCCCATGACTACACATGGGGTGGAAATACAGGGTATTGCCCTAAACTGCAGAGATAGGTTCACCACTCCAAGAAATCGGGACTTGGGCAGAAGGACAAAACAGCATGTGGGACTAGTACCACCTCGACTCCAGAAACAAATCTGGCTTGGAGGCAGTTCGAATTCTTTTGCAGACTTCTAATCCTCCTCTACCTCCCACCTGGTGTCAATTTTTATGTATATCATACTGCCCCAAATAAACTTGCGTACCATGGCAAAGAAATAACTTAATTCCCAAGAGGTCAAGACAGACAATAGTCTGCATCGTGCACCCCAAATTCTTCTCTAACAGCTAAGAGAAGGAGGGGGACCTATAAATTTACAAAACTAATAAAGGCACCATTATAATCCTTCACTTTGTCATAATGACTTTTGTTCAATTTCTTTTAATGCAGTCCCTCAAGGTCATCCCAGTCTTTCTGTGCAATATCCTCATCATATTCTGTACAGACAATGCTTTCAAGCTTTGTCTTGCCAGCAGGTTTCATCAGCCCACTCCTACTTTTTGTGCCAAAGACATTAATGAAAGATATTAAAACAAGATAAGTTTGAAGGCTGCTACTTGAAAAGCACTTCTAATAACCTACCTCTTGTTTCATACTTCTTTGCAGCACAACCTGCAGCCCTATTCTCCTTATAGTTTTTTTTTCCTTTGTATTCTGGTCTTTTTTGTTTCTTTAAGCTAACCTTCAAGTAGTACCACATTAATTGCTTTATAGGTGTTCCATTTGAAGAGATCTACTACGTTTCCTCTCATTTGCCTAGAAAAAAAATTGCCAGTTATCTTATCAAGCACACACTTCAACTCAGTGTGATTTAATTCCATGTTGCTTTTTATCCTGTTTTTCATCTCATCTCTATAACTATTTTTGTTAAGATCGGTTATATAGAACCTCATGCACATTTTGCCTGAAGTTGAAGGGATCACTTTTGCCTTTTCAGGAGCCAGGAAAGTATACTTACTGGCCCCTAGCACAAGTCAGTTTACTTATGAGTGAACTGGAGGATCTCCGACACAGGCCATCCATCTGCACAATAGTACCTAGCGTGTGTTTCTTCAGAGACGTCAACCACAGACAGTGTTCCCAGCAGGTGGATTCATCAGCTTCTCACTCCCAAATTTTAATACAGATTTTCTGCGCTGATCTTGACAGATTGCTTGAATGATAATTTATGCTGCTTTGTTTCAAAAATATCTTCATTATCAGGGCCATCAAAATCCACCAAGCGTATAAAGCAGGCTCCTGTTAGCACTTTTTGACAGTGAATCTCTTAAATAAGTTTATGAAAAGAAGTGAAAAACCTCTCAGGTACTGAGGGGTTTATACTTATTTATATATATTTTGCAATCCATAACAACTCTTTTACATGTCTTACCCAGTCTCTGTGGAGTCAACTTAATCGGCCCTGACCTGTGTTCTTCCTTCCACCTCTCCAGGTCATCTAGCTCTTTCTGAGCCACTAAGGAGATACAGAAAGAAATAAACATCCAGAGGTGAGAAGTAGCATTAAAAAGCAGGCTGTATCATTAATTGTATACAACATTGAAGAGCCACCCAGGAACAGACAGATCCTTGTTTTCCATGGATGCAGAGAGCCCCCCTAAGACACCCACTGGAGCTATCAGCACGTGGGGCAAACACTCTGTCTCATCCCAGAATGTATGGTGAGCAAATCCTAGGACTCTGTTACCAACCCAAAGAGCAAAACTAAAAACAGCTAATGGGCTGCTTTTTAACTCCTGGAAATCTGTAGGTATATACCACACTACTCATGGCTAAAGCAGGAGTTGTCACATTTAAGACTGTTGCATGCTTATGTAATAACATTCCACAGCAGAAAAGTGAATAATAAGCAGTCTTCCCTCTCAACCACATGCTCCTTGAACAAAAGCAGGAGATATACACAATTCAGCTTCAAATTAAGACATTTCAACATATGTGTGCACAAGTGAACTGGATGTCAAGCTCACACTGTTGTCAGTGGAGATCTAGTCAATACAGTTAGTGGCACTGGGAGACCTATGCAGCCAAACTATATGCTCTAGGATGACCTGGTTGATTAAACTGCTCTCTAGGAACAACTGACAGAGGAAGAGACAGTGTCTTTCAATAGCAAGGCCCACAAAGCCTATGAAAAGAGAAGCCATGTCTTAGAGTAGTATCTGAGATGCTCTAAGAGCTCAGTTCACTCTTACCAATATCAGTAAAAATAACATGAACCATAGTTTCTCATAGCACGTTATGGCTAACAGATGCTAACACTACTTCTCCTTTCACAAGATAAAGCCAGTCCCTGGGTAGGTTTCCAAAGAGGCCCAGGAGAGTCATTCACTTGTTATTTCACCTTTATAACAACAAGGGTTTAGGTAGAGATTGGATTCAATGAGTTAGGCTGGATTTCTGCCAGTATCCAAGGCAAAAGTACTTTGCATGCTTGATATCTTGTATGCTGGTGGCATGAAGTGAAACCAATTCTCTACTAAAGCAGCAGCATCTATGCTCTTAGGGTCAGAGTCAGCTCTAAGCTGATCTCTATTCTTCGTCCTTCCAAATGATTAAGGTTTGGTTCAGATTAAGGTTTACATTAAGGTTTGGTTCAGATTAAGATTTAGATTAAGGTTTGGTTCCATTTTCTTTCTTGCATTTCAGCACAAACTCACAACATTTGAGAAGAAATGTTTTAACTGTACCATTTCCCAGAGGGCTCTAAACTTGAGGAATGCTGACTGACATTCCTTCAGCTGTCATGATGATTCTGTGCAAATAAACAGCCAGGAGCACAGGACTGCAGCATTTGGTCACTTCTACATACAGGATTTATTTCATGACTCTCTTGTTACAACTTTTGGCAAAGAAAGCTTTTTAATACATGCTTAATCTTTCTGGTACAGGTTCAGGGTGTTTTCTGCTTAGCTACTTTCACCAGCAAGGCTTGAAGCCAAGCAGAAGTGAACTTTTAAAACCACAGATGTTTTACTATTTAGAATGGTCTTTCCTAATTTCATTAAAAGACCCACCTACTCTCTCTAAAAGGATATTCAGGAACGAATATGCAGTGTCGTTCTAGTTACTCTAGTTTCCACATGAGAATACTTTCAAAAATATTGTCTTATTTATCAATCTCGTCTTCCTCCCCCAACCTTAAGAACGTTCAAAGTCGGGTTCTCCAATCTATATTCAAGCCATAGAAATCACAAGCTGTAGGAGCAAGGTACAGGTAATTCTAGATGAATCTTGTAAAAGCTAATTTGAGCGGCTATAGCACTGCTATTATGTATAAACTTTTCTTGAATAAGATCGATGGATTTCTGCATGTTTAGTCAAATGGGGACTTAATCTTAAAAAAAAAGTCTACATGATGATGGAGAATGCTCACAGTACTGACTTTACTGTCAAAGCTGCACACATAAAAGTATTGTAAAAATAAGGATATAGATTGCAAGGGTGATAAAGCACACAAAAACGTGACCTTTTACAAGTTGAAACAATGTATTACAGTATTAGATAACTAAACTCACTTTGCTGCAACTGGTTTCTTCTTGTTTCATTTGGAGTTATCAAGACATATGGGCTGACACTGAAATGAAAGAAAAGACTTGGTTTTTTTCTGTCTACAGAAAAATAGGACTGGAAGAGACTTCCTTGGTTATTACGGACGGTTTTCTGCTGTTGTAGCCAGTAAGCATAAAAACTAGCATTTATTTTGATTCAAATCTTTAGAATTTTTTAGTAAATACTCTAAAAAGAACTCTTAGATGTTGAGTTAAGCTACAAATATCAAGGGTAAAATTTTCAGAAACTCTTAGCACCATTTTTACTCTTCTTATTTAAGTCCCACCCTAGACTCCCAACCTCAAATATCAGCAGTTTCAAATCCAGTAACTTCCTCAGATCAAAAACTCCATGTGGTAGACAACTATTCCCACAGACTGGCTGTTGCTGTTTTATAGCTCAGCTTGCTCAAGCGCAGAGGAAGACTCTTATATTTTAGGAAAAGCATGGGTGCTAGCAGTCCCACCCCATGCTTCAAGGGCACCAAACACCTCAGAGGATTTAGGCAGCATACCCAAGAGTTACCCAAGGACGGCACAAAATCATACTGTCTGTCCTGGATTCATGTGACTTGCTCTCAGCCTGAGCCTCAGTTTCCTTATTAGCCTCGTGTTTGTCAGGCACTTGCAATGCTTTGGGCATATTTATTTTGCTGTCATGCCTACGGTGCAACTCACTAAATCAGGACAGAGGCCCTGTTTTGCTAGGCTTAATTCAAAACAGAGTTGCTGGCTCAAAGAGCTATCAATCTAACGTGACAGCAAAGAAACAAGACAGAGTTCAGAGTGTATTACAGACTTGGGGTGACCAAAAGAGTGATGAAAATATGTCAGTTCCACTTGGAGAAAACAAAGGTTTTTATCTACACACTACATTGTGCAGGCATGAGTTTACGCTGCCTGTGCTCCACACCAGTGAAAGCTAAGCCACAGGGACGCAGGCTTACTACAAATGCACTTAGCAATGGCTGGCTCCAACTATCAGATTAAACTCCACTTCTCTGCGGTATTCATTGTGGTTTTATCCACACACACGGGTGCAGATATTTTATCTGACTTCCTCACACGGGAGATTGAAGGAGATGAACAGAAAACAAAGAATAATGAAAGATGAAGATTGAGCCTTTTAAAGGAAGAAAGGGCCAAGTGGGGTGGCTAGTGGACAGGTGAGCAAGTAGAAAGAACACAGTTGGCTGTGGAAAAGTAATGAGGGAAGGAGGCCTGAGACTATGGCTAAAAAGGGGAGAGAAAATCATGCTAAGAGATCAAAGTGCAAAAAGCTGCCTACTGCTGTTTCACTCTAATTTGGAGTTTGGTAAGGAAAGTATTTATATTCAATTACCTCTTTCTCTTCGAAGGCTTATTCTAGGGCAATGTGGATTACTTTATCATAAGCTTCTTGGTCACCGATCATTTTCCATATTTTCCTTTATTTGATTGAGTAGAAGCATTTAAAGTTTATCCCAAACTGTCCTTGACTGAGCTGCTCTACAGTTTCAGTGCTACGAATTTTGTTTTCAACATTTTTTGTTAGCTGTTTCAGATATTAGTGCCATATTTCTCTCAAGTTCATGCACAGAAATTATTACTTCGTACCTTTAACTCCCCTCTCTGTCAGTGAAAAAAATAGCTGGAATTTTAAATTGCATAACTATGCATTTTTCCTCTGACAAACACAAGTGCATCTCAGAGACCCTACTGATCCACAACATAAAAGAACAGAAGAGTTTTTATATTCTCAGTGTACTCCACTGACCTCAAACAGTTATTTTTTTTTAAATTAGGATTCCAATTAAGAAGAAAGCAAGGAGCTCTGTGTGAGTGCATGTGTATGAGGAATCATGTCAAATCTAGCCCTTATGCCACAAATCATTTCTTTCACCCAGTTTTCCTTTTTGGCTGGAAGGCTCTGAGCCCACAAGGCCAGATGGACCACTCCTCTGACAACTGACTGCGGTCATTACCCAGTAATTCAGAAATACGGCACATGATATATAGCAAAGAAGTTATGAAAGGGATAGAGGTGAGACCAGACAAGAGAGGGAATTGGACTCGCTTCTAGGCAGAGCTCGGCTCTCTTGTCTAATTGACAGCTTAAAAATCACCACGGTTAGAAGAGTGCTTGTTTAAAGGCCAGTTTGGTTTCCATGTTACTGAAGTAGGTGAAGTTATGATCTGAAATCCTTGTTTTCTTTTAAGGTGGGGGAAGGGAGAACAGGACACCAACTTTGGGTTCTCTTTTACTTGGTGCTTATGCTACATGATTTTTTTTTAGTCCAAGTTCAAAAATAGAAGACAAAAGCGTTATCAACTTTATCTAGTTTCATAAGTGTGTTCATAGTGTAAACTCATGTGCAAAACCCAGGGATGTCCTTTCTGCTTCTCATCACAAAAGAGAAGTTACGCAGACTTGACACTGCTAACCTTGGTCTCCCTGAAGTACTGAAATGTGAGAGCATAGCTCTGGGTATTGGGATCAGGGAAAGGAAGAGCAAGTATGTGGTGGACCTCTTATGGTATTGGTGAAAGTCAGGATATGAAACCCATAGCCATGAGGGAAGCCAGGTGAGTCATTTTTAGAGAGACTCCACCTGCTCTATCCGTTCTAATCTTAAAATTCAATCCCATACCTACTGCCCCTCATTTTCTTGAGATCTCTGTATTCAGAATGAACTTTCCTTTTAAAAAAATGTAGATATATAGGTATATGTGCACACATATCTTTCTTCTTGGGTTTAGGCAGTTTGTAGGATATTGCATGTTAATTCTTTGATCAGACGAATCATCTCAGATCCTCTGATACAGAAAAGCCTATAAAATCTGCTATAGCCTGTCAATTTAATATTCTAGTCAGTTCCTAAGTTGCCACAGTTGCCATATGTTTGGAGCAAATCATTCTGCTTGCCTGGGCAGCAATTAAGGAGCTATTCTAATGTGAAGATTAAGTTATCAACACTGTGCAGACTTTTGTACTTTACACCATTATTTTAAGTGCTGAAAAATCCACAACCAGAAACAACAACAAAGAACTTGATTTTTCAGATTCTCTAATAATGATTCTTATTGATATATGATTTAAGTCTGTCATTGAGATTGGGTTGTTTTATACACAAAAATACAAAAGTCACTGGGGGTGGAAGGAACACCTTACCCAGCTTATAGCTCTTCATAAAAGAGAAGCAAATCCTCTTCCACCTTTATATATCATATTAAGATTTGTTTTAGTTTGCTTGCCCTACAGAAAAGGGAAACGGATTGGCCAATGTCTCAGAGTGAACAAATATTAACATGAGTAAAGAAGTTATAATCCAATAAGAAAATGCATTTGTACTAAAATAAGAACAATCTCATATGAGTTCTCAAGTAGACAGACATCAAACATTACAGAAATACAGTGGGAAGATAAATAACAATGTAGCTATATGTATTTGCATATATACAAACATATGCACATACATATGTATGTGTAGAGAGAGAGAAATATATCAATCAGAAGGAATGCACGGTCCCCTCATAAAGATGATCTTCAGAGATCCCTTCCAACCTCAACCATTCTATGAAAATATCTGTAAAGATAATTTACAGTTTGAATTATCAGTTACACAAAGAACATCATGTCTGCAATTTTCAATTCTTAAGCCTGTGTGTAGCACTACTCATTTACCTAGCACCACTCAAGGACTAGTTCTCAACGCTTTCAGGGTAAAGACCATAGAAACCTTCGCTTCCTTTCTTCTAGGTATGTATAAAATAGATGATTTGTAAAATGAATAAATACATGAGAACTACAGCTCACAAATAATGGTTTTTGCAGAGCTGTGTCCTTCAGTTTTTCCTCAAGCCCTCTCCAGGCAGCTACCACGGGTAGCCTTCCAAATGAAGTGTGAAATAGTTTAAAGAGTTACAAAATTAATGGCTCTTATAAACTATTTCCAATTCCATTGTGTTTTATACTGCCCTCCCCTCCTTTTTTTTTTTTTTTTTTTTTTTTGCACATCAGCACTGCAATACCACATAAAGCAGAAAGCTAAATAGTTTGCTCTCTAGAGCAACGGAATTTCTGCATTCCGTCAGAGAGAGAAACGAAGAGAATTCAGTACAGAGGCTAAAGCTTTGCAAGAAGACCTAGGCAGGTCCAGTCTAGAGAAAGGACTCAAGGGAGACAGTACCTGTCTGTATATGTACCATTTCATTTATTTTTCTTAGAAAGGAAAAACAATCATTTATATTCAGTAATCAATGAAGAGAGAGGCATGAGGGGGGAAAAAAAATGCAGGCACATCTATGTGTATTTGCAAACATGTTTATTTTTTTTATACCTGTGGGTATGTGTGTGGAGACTGTTCCCCCTTTGCTTAATATATATACTTAATATATAGCCTTAATTTCCAAGAGAAAAGATTTAGGGGAAATACTGTATTAAATAATATGTTAAGATTGATTAACTTTAAAAGAAAAAAAAGAAAACAAGGACAATTGTAGAATCATCTTCAAAGGCATGCCAAGCTGAACTTAGCACTCAATTATCAAGAATCATTTAAAACCAGTTACGTCAATCCCACCACAAAATATCATTTTCACCAAGGCTCTTATCCTGACGGAGCGGCTGTATGCTGTTAAGCACCATGGAAGCTGCCAAAGCAGAGACCTACAACGTGCCAAATCCAAGTGAGCAGACAACTGTCCTGTAGGTATCTATATTTCACAACGTGCCACGGCCAGATCCTAAAGACAACTGACAGCCGCAGTTCCAGACCTCAGTCTTGCAATGTGATCTGTGCCCAGGCAGTGCCATAAACAGAGCTCCAGGAGGATGTAAAAATCTCATATACAGGTTTGGGGATCTCACTTTCCATCTTTATCAGTAGCAGCATCTTACCGCTTTACAGCTCAAGACACAAAAGTAAATTACTGGGACTTAACATTACACAGCGGCTGAGTCATCCTAGCTGTGTGTGTGCTCTTAACGTGAGAGGCACAAAATAGACATTTTCAGCTAGCTCAGTTTATCGCTGAAACTTTGCACTCATGGATTTTGTCCTGTGTTTGCCATAGGCTAAGAGTGTACTTAATTACTACAGCTCACACGATATCTGGAAGCTTATTAAGCCAAGGTAACTCACTTGTATATCTGGGTCCCTCTGTTTAGTTAAAGCCTCTATTAAAGTGACCAGCATTTTTGCTAGAGCAAGGCCTGAAGGCAAAACAAAGAGTTAATTCCCCAAGTGAACTTGCATAGGGAAAGAGGGATTTCTGGAAAAGGGCAATAGTAGCAGAGAAAGGCACAGGAGAAGGTGTGAGTTGGAAACTAGTAAAACAACAGACTTCTTGTTCTGCTATTGGCACCCAAATCTCAATTCTCCGGTACCCCTGAACTTAGGGAGAACCTCCTCAAGTTATAACCTGGTCCCAAGAGTAAAACCGAAATTCAGAACTGGATTTCTAAGACTTGAGAAGGGGCTCAGATTCAGGTTTGGCTAAGCACACGACAGCACAGCAGAAAGAGCAACAGGTGCTTTAAACCAGAACCCCTTCTGGTGCAGTAAACGCTGTAGGCGTAGCAGCGGGGAGCGAGGCCTGCAGAGCATCTACTCCAGTAACACATGCCAAGCACCAGGCTTGGCAAAATGTGTGCTGAGCCAGGCTGCCTCTTGCAGTGCCATCTGCACGTTGCGAGTCACGCTCACCACCATTCCTGGAGAGCTAGGCTGGTCGGACTACGCGAAGACTAAGACCTGAGCTGGTGGCATGTTCATCTCTGCTCTCCCCACTTTCTTTTCAACAACCTATCTCCTCCTTTTCTCTCCTTCAGCCATTTGTTGTCCTTTTATTGTCCCTGCCCAAACACAGTACCCTCTCATATGTTCCTTTTTCCTTTTCTTATCACAGCTCCTCAACAAGCTAAGCACAGAGGGAACATATCTGACCTTGCGTATGCCAAGTCCTTCTGAGAAAGTCTTCTAATACAGGAATTAGAAGCACTTCCTTTCCCCCCTCCCCCACGTTATGGGGAACACAGAAACCCCCACAACTCAAACTAATGGAAATCTTACTGTATAAGATATATGTAACTAAACACTGCATAGTTATCTTCTTACGCTGACACAGCCTCTGAACACTCAGTTCGAGATAAGGGTGGCTACTGATCACACTGAAGCTGGACATCTTTGAATTGCCTCACTGGGCTGTAAAGATTAGTACATCACCCTGAAAGCTGCAGAGATGGGAGATTTTTCCTGTGTAGCAAGTACAGAGTTCAACTCTAAACAAATTGTCCATAATTCAAACTGCACTTCTGCAACTCCTATCAATGGCAGGGCAGCAGGCAAAATGAACATTTTGATAAGCATCCTCCTCTAGCTTAATGGCCTGATTCAGCATATTTAAAAAGTGAAAAAAAACCCCAAAACCCTGATGTCAAACGGACAATAAAATTTTCAGGAGAACTGTAAGTACACTCTATCAGCAGAAGGTTGAGAGGTGCAACAACACTGTAGTTTTTTTTTTTTTTTCAATTCAGGATGAAGACTGGAAAAGGAAGTGGGGGAAAGGGGAAAATTGATATGGCTCCTGCAGTTAAAAAATATGATTTCTCAGTCAAACATTCTAGTATCTCCAATCTCCTTTCACACTAGGTGATGAGGGACTGTTACCAGTTGTGGGACAACATATCTTCAGATTTTGTTATTTTGAATTTTTTTAAAAATAGATTTTATTAGAAACAATATTATTCTTTGCATGTTTAGGGAACCCAAGGATAAGCTGCTATATGTGGGGTGGGGACCATCATAATTTTTCTCTTTTTCAGGCCTGTAGTTCAGCCTCTAGTTTCCCCACTTTCCTCCACCTTTCTTCTGTACAGACTTTTGTTTCTGAATAGTTATGAATAGGTACAATTTGGGAATTCACTTTCTACAAGTTAATTTCATGGCACTTAACAGACTTCAAGAGAAGTAACTTAAATGCAAGCTTATTTATAAGCAGTTTCAAGCACTTGTCATCCTGGTGATTTTCTCTCCATAGCCTGAAACAGTATCCTATATAGAAAGGAGGGTAGCGTGTGCAAATTTTCATTTCAGCTTTGGACTTGTACAAGTGTTTTTCCTACTTAATTAGAACCCCTTTAACAAGGTTTTTCAACCTCGACATAGAATGGCTTTTCCAAAGTAGGAGAAGAATTACTACCTAATACTACTTTGCACTGTGTCTTCCAGAGGTATGAAGAGCCTCATGGTAAGCTGAGTCATAGCTACACCTAGGTCAGAAACAACGTTCTTGATTTATCTAGTCTCATTCAAGTGAGGGCCTAGAAATGCGTCACCACTAAACATCACAACCCATACATTTTCTATTTGCATTGCCAGTGTTAGCTAAGGTCCAAGTGGCCCATACTGCACCTGAAAAAGAGTAAAGTTTGTATGAGGCTATAACACTTTGGGTCCCACAACTATCTGATGTGTCCAGGCAGCGTGAAGGGACGCTCGATCCCATGCTAAGATGCTGCTAAGGCCAGAGTTTTCCCACTTCCAAGTGCTCTGAAGCACAGCGTGAAACTGTGAGAGCGTGCATGAAAAAAAAAAAACCATGCACATACAAAGGCCATTCACGCATAGACTTAAACTGAGACTCAGACTCCTGCCTGGAGCTGCAAAAACATATCCTGGCTGTTTCTAGAAAATAGCAACCAGCATACAAGCTGGAATGGAGCCACTTCTTGGCACAGAAATATCCTACCTGGCCTCCTCATGGTGTAGCAGTGCTTTCCTCTAGTAGGCATATTCCAGAAAGCTTTCTTGGTTAATGCTATTCTAAAGAATTTTTCTTTTACTGACACTCAGTTACATTAGCTCTCAAATTGCCCCATACAAGTCTTGGATATCCCAGAGCCTGAACAACTGGGCTATTCTGAGGGTGTCCTAGAGTTTTGGTTTTAAGGATCATCTTAAAAGGCATTGAACGCCGAAAGACTAAGTCAGGTTTATCTTGACCAAAATGATATTTTAATCTGAGGTCTTACCTGAAAGATAACTTGCACTAATAGAACAAAGAGAATAAATACAATAGTTTATTGTTGTTTTAAGAATAAAGATCTCCTCTTGTCTGCTTCAGCATCTCAGACACCTTCTATCACTTTCATCTGGGTGAGTTAAAGGAATCGTATTTTAAAAGGATTCATCTCATTCAAATTGTCGGTCATCCCCTTCCCCCTCCAAGGGTACAGAACAAAAGTCAAGCTTGCCCACTTCCTTTTTATGAGCATTTATTTACCAGTTATATCACATGGTACTGCTTGAACTTACCTTTCCCACATTCCTTCTTCTCATCAACTAAACACTACTGTAATTTGTAATGCTCCTTGTCTAAGAACAAATTGTTACAGTTTTCTGAAAACATATAGATAAAATCTTTTGTATTGCACAGTGAAAAATATTAAGTCTAGATTCACCAGATTCATAACACTTTTGGGGCTGCAAGTATCAAATCAAGATAAAACAGGGAACAAGGCTTTAAATTATTCTTCCCCAAAAGCATATCGAGTTGTATGGGGGATTCCATCTTCTGGTTAGAATCTATGTGGAAATTTTTAATCTAGCCTTAAATTCTGTGAGGAGTTCAGGCTAACCAGCTGACCAAGTATTTACATAAGCTTTACTAGAGATTTTGTATCCCAAACCAGGCTCTGTGCAAAGATAGCTGTACCAATGAGAGGACAGCCCCTCTCCTCCCCTAAAAAAAAAAAAAAAAGCACATACCACAAGGACCGAAGCTAAATAGGGCTGTTCTCACTGTACTGTGGATATGCGGTAGCATGAGGGAAGGCAAGACAGAGGGTCTTTCGTGTTTGGAAGCGGCAGAAAATAAACATAGACTGTAAGTCAGGAAAGGCTGTTTGCTCCCCTGAAAGTGCATAATTGGAGGGCTCACTGATTTCTAGGTTACCCCTCTCTATATAGTCCATGTATCATCACTACCTAGAAGGCAGCCTTTTAAGGGTTACAATGCAAAGCTTCTGGTTGCTGCTTGTGACCAGCAGTCTGCCACCGTTTCACAGCGTGGCTCCACCTCCTTCTTCCAGAAAGCAGAGAAAAGAAACTGAAACAGCTCTTTGAACGTGGAACCTGTTTCCATCAGCTGCACTTTGAAAGAAGGGAAAAAAAGCAAGCTAAGCAAACTCAGCACATATTAGTGCATGTAATACTGTTAATAACAGCTCATGAAAAGTACATTTGAAAGAAAGAACTGTAAACAATTAGTTTGCATCAGCTACACATATATACATTAAGCACATGTGTATAAAATACACACTACGATCAACTGCTATGCTGTATTATATATGCCTGCTAGGGCATATACAAGCTATCTAAGAGTAGACATCCAGAAAAAGAGATGGACCAAGCACAGATCCCAGTAAGGCTTAAAATTAAATTCAGGGCTGAAGTTTGGCTTTAATTCCGTCATATCCTGGATTGCATTCAGATCACTTCTGGGACACAGCCTATATCCATTTCTTAAGCCAGAAGTATTTTCAGACTTGCAATGAAATATTAGAAGAGAGAAAAAAAGGGAGGTAGAACTGAATTTGAAACTCTAGTTAGAAAAGGATTCCAAGAAATAGGCACCACATAGAGCAATATCAAATGTACAGAACCTGCTGCTGTTATTGCACATGGTACTGACACTATCTGCATAACATACAACACATTTAAGCAGCTCCAGCTGTGAGCCACAATATCACAAAATCTGTCAGAAAAACCCAGGTCTCGTTTAGGAAGTGTCATCAGTAGCTACACTTCAGACTGACAGCAGGTTGCTCCAACAGCGTGAAGACATGCTGCTTACATGCTCTGTCCCATTCACAGACTTGTTATAAAAGTATTTCTACCTCTAAAGGTAACATCAAGTTAGGTGGAGAGCAAGCACTTGATACAAGCAACATCACTGTTTTGGCCAAACTCCTTGCTACTCACTGCTGTTCTTGTTGTGGGACTGGTGCTTGGCCCCGTTGCTCCTCTTCAGGTATCATCAGCTTCTGGGATTTTTCAGCCCCCTCTGTTTTCTCACAGTCTTCCCTGAGGAAACCAGAGGAGGAAAAGGGGGTACTGGAGGCAGCAGCCACCCCATACCTGCTTCCTGCCCTCACTTCTCTAACCCTAGACATCGCCACAGGAATGTCCTGTCTTGTCAGCAAGGAGTATTGCAACTAAGCACAGGAAAAGACACCCAGCTCAGTTCTAACAAGTTAGTTTCAATTTCTCATAAGACACACCCCTACTGAGATTCCCTCAGCTGTAAAAGTGCAAATCCACTTACTGGTTTCTGGGTCATCCTCCAGCTGAAGCTCAGGCTGTGATCATCTGAATCACAGCACCCAGAAGGACTGAAGCTAGATTCATGGGCCGATAGCAAAGCTGATCTATTGCTCTTACTAATAAAACACAGGAGTAATAGTTTGTGCAGTCTTGCAATAGATTCCTGTGGAATAAGCAAAGTGAGGTCTAGCTAAAAGCAAAATTTCTGACAATTTTTGACTCCAGCACTACAAATTTCCCTAAGAGAAAGTAGAACAACTCTAACATTTTTATTTTACTTGTTTGCTTCTTTATTGCAGGTCTGCATGCAGACGGAAGTCAAATTAGAAAATAAGCCTCTGATAAATGCTAAGGTAATGCTCCTGTAAAACTCCAGTTCTGCCTTTGAATTCTGCTCAGGCAGAGTTTTTTTTTTACTTCAACTTTCCTAATTCTACCCCATGAATAGTGAACAAATGCGTCATCCTTTTAAATAAAAACAGTCGTCTTCACTGAGCGCATACGACCAGCGGTGCTGTATCTGTCAGATCAGATACTGTGGAATCACAGAATGGTTGAGGTTGGAAGGGACCGCTGGAGATCATCTAGTCCAACCCTCCTGCTCAAGCAGGGTCCTCTAGAGCCTATTTCCCAGGATTGCATCCAGGCGGGTTTTGAGTATCTCCAGGGAAGGAGACTCCACTATCTCTCTGGGCAACCTGGTCCTGTGCTCAGTCACCCTCACACAGAAAGAGGTTTTTCCTCATGTTCGGATGGAACTTCCTGTGTTTCAGTTGGTGTCTGCTGCCTCATGTCCTGTCACTGGGCACCACAGAGAAGAGTCTGGCCGCATCCTCTTGACACGCTCCCTTCAGATGTTTGATACTTTCCAGCAGGTCAACCCCCAGCCTGTCCTGGTGCATGGGGTTCTTCCTCCCCAGGGGCAGGACCCTGCGCTTGCCTTTGTTGAACTTCAGGAGGTTCCTCTCCGCCCAACTCTCCA